AGCCGTTGGCGCGGTCGATGCAGGAGCCGCCGTTCGCGCACGGGTTGGACGCGCACTCGTCGACGTCGCGCTCGCAGTTGTGGCCGAAGAAGCCGGGCGCGCAGCGGCAGTGGTAGCGGCCGACCAGATCGACGCATGCGCCGCCGTTGAGACACGGATCCGATTGGCAGTCGTTGTCATTGGATTGACACAGGATTCCCGAAAAGCCTGAGAAAGCAGTTTAAAGTGTGAGAAAAAGAGCGAACATCTGTTGCACACATGCGGCCTATAGTGACAGCTGTCGCTCTCCCATAGGGATCGCATGGGAGAGCGACTCTATAGGCAACATCTGTCGCGCGTGACGTCACTTCCCAAAACTTTGCAAAGCTTTGTTTCAAACTTTAACAACTTTAATAAAACTTTACAAACCTTTCTGACAAACGCATTGAAAGCCGGACTTCAAGTCCAGACATTGGCCGGAGTTCTGACACGGGTTCGAATCGCACTCATTCACCTCCACGTCGCAGCGCGCGCCAGAGAAGCCCTTAGGGCAGTGGCACACGTAGCGCCCCACCTCGTCGTCGCACGTGCCGCCATTGAGGCACGGGTTGGACGCGCACTCGTCCACGTCAGACAAACACCGGTTGCCATAGAAACCCTTGGGACACACGCACTTGAAGCCGTTCGCCCTGTCGATGCAGGAGCCGCCGTTCGCGCAGGGATTGGACGCGCACTCGTCCAGGTCCACTTCGCAGACGCTGCCGCCGAAGCCGGGCGGGCACTGGCACTCGTAGTGGCCGATGAGGTCGCGACAGGTGCCGCCGTGTCGACAGGGATTGCTCCAGCACTCGTTCACGTTGTACTCGCAGTGGTTGCCGGTGGTGCCGAGTGGACACTCGCACGAGAAGCCGTTCACGTGATCGCGACAGAGGCCGCCATTGAGACACGGCTGGGAGAGACACTCGTCGAGTTGTGATTGGCAGAGCAGGCCAGTGAAGCCGGCGTCGCACACGCACTGGAAGCCATTCACGCCGTCCTGACAGCGCCCCCTGTGGCAGGGCGAGGACTCGCAGTCGTTCACGTTGAGTTCGCAGTTCTTGCCCGAGAAGCCCTTGACGCACGCGCAGGAGTGGCCGTTGCCGTGGTCTTGACAGGAGCCGCCGTTCAGACACGGGTTGTTGAAGCAGTGGTCGAGGTTGCGTTCGCAGCGCTGGCCTTCGAAGCCTTGCGGACAAAGACAGCGGAAGCCGTTGATGAGGTCCGTGCAGAGGGCGCCACTGAGGCAGGGGTTCGATTGGCACTCGTCCACGTCCTGCTCGCAGTGAATGCCCGAATAGCCTGAGGGGGAGAGGGAAAGGTCAATGACCTGAAGACATTGAGTAAAGAGTGAGGGCACTGACCTGGCATGCACACGCAGCGGTAGGAGCCGCGCTCGTCGAGACACGTGCCGTCGTTGAGACAGGGGTTGGAGTCGCACTCGTTGATGTTCACCTCACAGCGCGGCCCCGCGAACCCCACGGCGCAGTCGCAGCGGAACGAGCCCGGAGTGTTGACGCACGTGCCGCCGTGCTCGCAGGGGGAGCCACTCTCGCGGCACTCGTCCACGTCTTGAGTGCAGTCCACGCCCTTGAAGCCGAGCGGACACGAACACATGTACGTGCCGTCGATTGGGGAGGTGTCGCAGATGGCGCCGGCTGGCGGGGGAGCGGAGAGTTAGTACATATAGGACATGTATACTGTATATAAGACATACCGTGACACGGGTTGGAGGCGCACGCGTCGTCCAGATGGCACAGGAGTCCCGTCTTTCCCGGCGGACACTCGCAGTAGAAGCTGCCGACGCGGTCGTGACACGTGGCGCCGTTGAAGCACG